TTATATATATATATTATGTATAATGTATATATAATATATATATTATATATATATACATATATATGTTATATATCCTGACTGAGTGGAATGTTAAGTGACAAGTAAGCAAACTAACATGTTAGGTCCTAATTGAGTAAAATGTTAACCTGCCAGCTAATGGAATTAAGTTGTGTTTATGAAAATTTAATCACTTTTTTTTTTTTATTTGCATAGAGCAGAGAAGAGGAAAAGGACCTTTTTCCCAGAAACATGGATTTGGCAGTGTCTCAACATCAGGTAAGACTCCTTTTCCTTTGCTGTCTTTGCGGGCCCTGAGGCACTCATGCAAGTCCGTATTGTTCCCAGCTGGTTTGCCTGCAGATCAGACACCCACATCTGAGTAAGATGTTGGACTTCCTTTTCTAACACATAAAACCCAAAGCCATGAAGTCAGTCCTAAATCCTGCTGCAGCCTCGGACATCCGCCCATGAAATTTGAAATGCAAGGGTTTCATGCCTCTTATGAGTCCCTCTTGGGTAACTCTATCCACTCTGTTTGCATAACGAGCTCATTAAAACGATTACAGTTCCCTGGAACATGAACCTGACCCCACCCACCTCCTCCTCTCTTCTCAGGGGACTCGGACTCCTGCCCACAAAACAGGCTGCTTTTCTCAGCACATTTCCTTTCCACATTTTCTCCCCTTTCAGTTCTCCTTGAAGCAGCAGTGCCCTGCCAAATTCCTGCCGGATGCAATTGGCTTTTTTCTTTCAATGCTCAGTGTGAGAACACCAACGGCACTAGTAGAAGGTAGTGGTAGCCTGCCTGCCCTGGGAAACCAGTGAGGTGTGAAAGTTCAGACCCCCTGGGCCAGCAGGTGGGCCCACTTCTGAGCCAGGTCCTTTTTCGAGGCACGAGGTGCCACAAGGCACATGGCACAGGCTCCAACACAGAACCGAGCTCACTGCTGGAGATTCCTCAGGCTGCTTTCATGGATGTGTATGTCCTCATTATGGGAAGGCTTAACTCCAGGTCAGAATAGATCCAGATTATTCTATTTGTGTTGGGGCCCCAGATTTAAGACGGGCTGTCTGGCCATCATCATTCAAATATATCTGCTTTCTGGGTGCATGGCGATGTTTTTGGTACCAAGAATGGCATCTTGAACAAGGCGGGCAGGGTCCCCTCACTCGTGGAATTTATGATTTATTCCCCAAGAGGCTTCATGCATCAGGAGGATTAACCTTCTCATGGTGAGCTGGGCACAGGGCTTGGGAGACAGAAGAGGAACACTTTGGAGCAGCCCAAGCTGAACCTGCTTTGGGGATCCTGTGTCCACAGTTGCCCTGAGAGCTGTTCATATTTCTGATTACAGCAAGTCAGGGTAGAGGAACAGCTTTCTGCTGTCACACATTCTGTGGTGCCTTAAATGCTTATTTCCAAGCTGCAGGGGACACCTTCCTGGGCCCCAGGGCCGTGTGGCTGGAGTCATCTGTTGCCACCTGGCCACTGTGGCGTGGCCCTGGAGAAGGGCCTACGGGTTGCCCATCTTTCTGCAGTGACCTGTCCAGTGAGGAGACACTCAGTGTGCAGGTCCCTGACTCCATCACCAGCTGGGTGGCCGAGGCTGTGGGTCTCTCTACAACATGGGGCTTGGGCATCGCTGAGCCCACCCTGCTGAAGACCTTCAAGCCTTTCTTCGTGGACTTTACACTGCCCCCCCACGTGGTTCGTGGGGAGCAGACCAAGATCCCGCTCAACATCTATAACTACATGGGCGTCTGTGCTGAGGTATTGAACCCACCCCCCTCACCACACAGCCTTTCCTGTTGGGGGGCAGTATCCATGATGTCAGGAGGTGGGGGGATGGGGTCATTCTGGGGGCCATGGGGATAGTGTCTGTGATATTGGGGAGGTAGGGGATATGGGGTCATCCTGGAGAGGCCATGGGGGTATCATCTTTGATATAGAGGGGCAGGGTGGATGGGGTCATCTTGGGGGGACCATGGGGGACAGCATGTGTGTTACTGAGGAGGCAGAGGCAGGATGGGTTCAGCTTCTAATTCACCAGCCATGTAAGCTTGGGGAGGGTTGGGGTGGGGATGTGTGCATGGCAGGGTTGGGGGAGACAGATGTGATAGGGCCACCGTCCCTGACTTCTGGCCTGCAGGGGCATGGGGGGACAGGCATCATATGTAGTGGCATGGAACAGGGGCTGGCACACTTTCTCTGTAAAGGGCCAGATAATAACTATTTCAGTCTTTGCCAGGCAGCCTCTGTCGCAGCTACTGAACTTGGTCATTGTAGCGGGAAAGCCATCATAGACAATACGAGTATGTATGTGAATGCGCATGCTCATGCATCTTTATTTCTGGACACTGAAATTTGAATTTCGTATTATTTTCATGTGACACAGAATATGTCACATGAAAATATGACATATTCTTTTTTTTTAAAAGATTTTATTGGGGAATTGGGGAAGGCGAACAGTGTTGGGGGGAATTGGGGAAGGGAAACAGCCAAGTTGTTGTTCTTCAGTCTTAGTTGTGGAGGGTGCAGCTAGCTCAGCTCCAAGCCTAGTTGCCATCCGGCCACCAGTTGGCAGCTCAGGGCATCTCAGGGCAGCTCAGCTCGGGCGCAGCCCACTGGTCCATGTGGGAATTGAACCAGCGACCCTGTTGCTCAGAGCTCGTGCTCTTAACCAACCGAGCCACTCAGCCGGCCCCATGACATAGTCTTTTTTTTTTTTTTTTAAGATTTTTGTTGGGGAATTGGGGGAATGGGAACAGTGCTGGGGAATTGGGGGAAGGGGAACAGACAAGTTGCTGTCATTTTTGTTCTTCAATCTAGTTGTGGAGGATNAAGATTTTATTGGGGAATTGGGGGAGGGGAACAGACAAGTTGCTGTCCTTTTGTTCTTCAGCCTAGTTGTGGAGGATGTCGCTTCACTGGCCCATGTTGGTATTATCATTGCGGTCTTCCTGGGTGAGGCAGATCGGTCACTGGCCACTGGATGGCTCCTCACAGCGGCTCTTGGTAACTCACGCTGGCTGCTGGCCACTCATGCTGGCTGCCAGCCACTCACGGTAGCTTACAGCAGCCCATTGCAGCTCCACTGCAGTCTACGCCATCGCTGGCGACTCATGGCAGCCCAGCCCCAGGTCGAGCTGTTGTTCACCATCTTAGCTGTAGAGGGCGCAGCGTCACTGGCCCTCATGTGGGATCTGAACTGGAGCCCTGCTCCTCAGAGCTGGCGTCCCAAGTCAACTCTTAACCAATGCGCCACTTGGCTGGCTCTAAATTTTCAAGTGATTTTAAAAATTATTTTTATGATTTATAAATTTGTGTCAAATGTGTATTGTAGCCAATGAACATGGTCTGTGATTTCCATCATCTGGTTTTTATTTTGGAGACTATATGGACAGTGTTTGTAAATGCTCATGTCTATTTGAATGTCTAAACCCCCATCATTGGGTACAGGGTTCTCTATGCATACTTTCAGTCAGGGCTATTAATTGTGGTACCCAGATTCTCCATATCCTTACTCATTTGTTTGTTTGTTTGTTTACTAACATCAATTACTGAGAGAGAGGAATTTACATCTCCTCCTTAGATTTGTGGCTTTGTCTCTGGAGCCATGGAAACCTTTGTTTCACAGGAGGTGATGTTTTCTCTCTCCTGTCTCCCTCTTTGTCATGTCCCCTTTGCTTCCTTGTTGCCTACCTTTTTTCTCTCCCACTCTCTTCATTCCTCTGCCTCTGCCACTAGCTTCTCAATCCCAGGTCTCAGCCAGCCAGCTTGGGAAGGAGAAAGGTGCTCTGAAAACTTTGCCTCTCTGGTCTCTCTGGATTTAAGGGCATGTTGGCTGGAACAGGAGAGGCAAACCTTGGATGTTCTCTCTCTTTCCCACTCCTCTGAGAGAGGGCATAGAACCCGGGAGGGCCAGGGATGAGGTCATTCCCTCAATAGCAGTCCCTCAGTATCTGGATCTCTCCAGAGACCTTGAGGATGGGCCCCAGACCCCTCAATCCTGAGCAAGAAGTAGCCCAGAGGACCTTCTGCACCTGTGGGCCTGTCCGTGAAAGCCCTATTCATCTTTCAAGGCTGCTCTGCCCAGATTGAGAGCCTTCCCAACCCCCAGTCCCCTCTGCAGTGGATACCTGGGTCCCCTGGGTTCTTCCTGCCTGGGCCACTCATTTAGCAGGAGTGGGGTAGGCCCAAAAGGATCTTAGTTTCCAAAGTCAAATCAGGGTGTAGGTAGATGAGGCTCCTCCCATGGCAGTTTGGACACACATGGAGGCATTGCCAGGATGTGGTTGGATGAGAGGTGGAAAACTCGCCCCTTTGCCTCTATCAGTCAGCCACCACCACAGGGACCCTGATCTTCCCATGTGCAGGACTCCCAAGAGATTGTCCTGGAGGGGGCACAGAAGCAGGCTTCTGAAACCTAGAACCACAAAGGCAATTGTAAATCCCAATGCAGAAAAGCACAAGACGTGCCTTAAAAAGCAGGTGCCCAATCCTTTTTGTAATTGGATAACATCCTTATTCTGAGGACAAGATAATTTTCTTAACCATGTGCATGTGGTTGGAACTTTTTCAGTGTGAAAGGTTATATAATGCAATGGAAGTCTCCCTCCCACCTCCGGACCCTCCGTTCCCTTCCTAGAGGCAACTGTGGTCAATAATTCTTAGATATCCTAGAAATTTTTTTTTGTATATATAAGAATTTAATGATTTTTAAAAACATTACTGGGACAATACTGTAATACTGTTCTGTGCCTTCTTTTTTTAAGTCAACAATAAGACTTGGAGATATTAAGTATTAGTACATACAGTATATGCTTACCTCACTCTTTTTTGCTGACATAATATTCCACTGTATGAAGTTAATGATGTGATTAACCAGTCCCCCTATTGATGGAGAGTTTGACAACTTGCTAATGCTTTCAGTGCTGTGGTGAACCACTCCATTTGTCTGTCTTTGCACATGTGTCTGTTTGTATTTCCAGAGTGCGTTCCTAACAGAGGTATTACAGGTTGAAAGAATGTGACCATTTTTAATTTTGAGAGGTTTTGTCAAATTTCAAGTTGGTCTTATTATTTTTTAAATGAAGGGACAGCCCCCAGGGACGGTGGGCTGTGAGGCTTCTGAGGATGGACCAAGAATGAAAGGCACTCTTTAGGAAACAGGAGAGGGGTTGGAGGAGGGAAATGAGCAGAGGGGAGGATGTGGGGTTCCTGTGGGCCCTCAGAATATGAAACACCACTATCATTTTAAGGTGATTTTGCTGAGCCTTTGATGTCTCACTTCTAGTCCTAATCAAGTAGACTGTTAACCCTTCCAGGTAAAAGAACGTTTTATATCCTAATTGGATGTTAACTCACAAGTAAGGGAATTAATATGTTATATATCCTGGGCCGGCCGAATGGCTCAGTTTGTCAAGAGTGCTAGCTCTGAGCAACAGGGTCTCTGGTTCGATTCCCACATGGGCCAATGAGCTGTGCCCTAGCTGAGCTGCCACTGAGGTGGCAGAATGGCTCAGCTGGTGAGAGCACGTGCTCCTAACAAGAAGGTTGCTTGGGATGGTGGGCTATGCCCACCCGCAACTAAGATTGAACACGGCACCTTGAGCTGAGCAGCTGCGAGCTGCAGACAGACAGCCGGATGGGACTGGACTTGGAGCTGGGTTGGCTGTGCCCTCCACAACTAAGATTGAAGGACAAACAACTTGGCTATTCCCCTTTCCCAATTCCCCAACACTGTTCCCCTTCCTTAATTCCCCAATAAAATCTTT